ACCAATAGCGATGCAAACACATGTGCCAGTGCCTTTTGCATCATTAATTTGACTTCTACAAACAATAAGGTTTTATGGGTCCCTACAGTGATTATCCCATGAACTGATACTCAGGGCAGGAGCGTTTTGTATCTAGATATTGAAACTATTAATTGCCTTGATGCCATCAAAATCATAATCTGGACTAGCAGAAGTGCCTGGGTATAATGTCCCAGTACTCCCCAGACACTTGAAAGCTTATTTTAAATGTGGATTAGTGTATCATATTTTTAGAGGTCAGTGAAGATACGAGTATCAGGGAAAAAAAGATTTAAAATTTTAATCAAGGCTGAGAAGGCTACATGCAGAAGCACAGTAAATAAGGATAATACTTAAAATTTTATAGAGATATTAATTGTCCTTAATTTTCTTCTTTTTTTTTCTCCAGAGGAAACATTCTGATAACAGCACAGTTGCAAAAGGGTATTTAACAGAGCACTGATACAACTTCTGTTGCTTTCAGTGGAAAAAAGTGTGCAGAAGGGCAAAAGTCATTGGTCTCCATCTCCAGAAGATAAACATTTTCAAGTGGTCTCTGTCTCCTCCTTCATCTCCAGTTACCCAAGAGTGTGCAAAGGAACATTCCCACACACTTTCCTGTGGGCAAATCCCATGTCATGAATGACAGCTGTTTCCCTCCATCCCAAAGCCTATGTTCTTGGTATGTTCAGAACTCAGTTCTTTCCTCTCTGTTACTTATTTGCTCCACGAAGATGATGGGGATGATTTTTAAAACTCTCTCTGAATTGCCCAGAGCACTTTCAGAGTGAGAAAACTGACTAGATTTTACCCCATCTTTCTTGATAACCATCTGAATAAGCATTAAGACAGTTGAATATATATAGTAAAAGCCGATATTGACAGTATCATTTCCTCAGTTAATCTATAACATCTCTTGTGACCAAAGAAATTTATCTGTAGATTTTAAAATCATTGTTTGACTGCACTGAGATTATATCCTCCAGATACCTAATGCAGATTTTGTAGGCCATGGTCCTACACTATGTAGGCAGCACAGATATGAAAGAGACAGTGCAGAGTTATGGTCCCAGACCAAGGAAAATGTGTAAGGGCAATCCCCATTTCCATGACTTCTTAGCTGGAACTGTGACCTTCATACTGCTGAACATTAGCTTAAGAATGGCAGCCAGCATCACTATTCCTGAAAATGCAAGAATGACAATTATGTTCTTTACATGGCCTTCTGCTGGAAATTAAAAGACTAAGGGGTTAGAGGTCTTCTGGGGTTCTAGACCTCCTTGTAGCCAAGGGAGGGATGTAGGTACCCCCAGAGCAGCTAGCTGCCTCTCCAATGCCAGCTAGAAGGCAAAGTGGCACCTTCTACCACCCTAAATCAAGGGTTTCACATGTGAGAAGAACTCTCTGGAGATGTTTCTACCAAATAACCAACAGTTGGAAAACCTTTAGGTAAGAGATAAGACTCATCTAATTGAGTAGAGGTGTCTCATTCAGGTGTCTGTCAGGTTAGATTCTGTTCATCACTAAAGGAGAGTCTAGAAATCTCACTTGCAATTGTGTAGGGAGAGAGGAGGTAATACCACCCACGACTATTGTAATCTACTCTAACCAGGAATGAGGACAAAGAAATTAATGTGTGACCTATTAATACGAAAAGCCAAATTTTGAAAGTTCTGCCAAGCATTAAAACGTTGGTCCTACCTGTAAGTCATGTCATTACCCTCTTGGTCAGTAAAGCTTGGCTGAGCTTCTTCTGTGCAATCACTGAAATTTTCCACAGGGGCATTTTTGTCTTCCAAAAAGACTTCTTCCTGCCCATGGATACTCCTTCCCTGAAAGTGTTCATGGCAAGGTTGGATGGGGTTTTGCGTGACCTTATCTAGTGTCCCTGCTCATGGCAGTGGGGTTGGAATGAGATGGTTTTTAAGGTCCCTTCCAATCCAAACCATTCTATTATTCTACTGCAGCTCTTGTCATCTTTGATTACAGGATTAGCACTGGCCATAGAGAGATGGAAACATTTTGAGAGCTAGATTTGACCAAGTATTGGAAACACAGATGTGGAATATGACTAACTACCAACTCCATTTTCTTGTGTGTCCTTTGTCAAGCTAATCAAGATTGGTCCCTTCCAACTCAACATATTCTATGATTCTCTTTTCACTGATTGCTGTAGTTGCCTCCTGCTGTTTCACTAACACCTATGTGTGCCAACCAAGCCAATATAAACTCAAAAAAATATATTTACTCAACTGATGAGGTTAAAAAAACAATAAAAAAACATTCAACTCATAAATGTTCAAGTAGCACTCAGATGATTCTCTGTGTGCTACAGAGATAAAGTGCTAAGGTAAGTAGGACATGCAGAGAAATTACAAAAAACCCCAACCCAACTCAACAAGCCCCCCAACAAATAAACAGTCCCCCAAACAAAACCAACAGACACAACAGCAACAACAACAACAAAACAAATAAACAAAATCCAAACAAACAAAACCTAAACAAAAAAAAACCTAAACCCAAACCCAACTCTATTTTGTCAAAATTCTTTATCCAGTACCTGGTGAGAAGTGTGTAATTTAAGTCATGGGGTCACATACAGTGTCAAAGTGAAAATAACATTAAATTACCCAAATGCTCTCTTCAACAGGAATGCAGAAAAATGTAAGGCTGCATAAGCACTCCACTCAATAAATATTTGTGGGAACAAGGAAAAAATCAGTCAGAATCCTGCATATATAATCTCTAAGGCCCTCCACTGTAGTTTTCAGAAGATACCTTAGATGTGTGGCAACCTGTCCATTCAAGGAGTCCAGCAAATAATAATGATATTATTTAGTATGGCATTCCTGTGCCTATTGATCTGCTTTCATATGAATGTTGATTCTCTGCACCTTATTATGAGTGTGAAGGATCCTGACCAACCTGCACTCTGACAAATGATTCAGCATCTTTATTTAGGTTGAGTAACACCTTATGGATCAAAACTTAGCTGCGAAAGTATAGGAAACCCAGTTGTTTCAACAGAGTCCACAGGTCTTCTGGAAAGGATTAAAAATTACATTTTTTCACCTCTCTCAAATTTTTATGCCTTGAATAACATCACGTGTTGGGAGAGAGAACCCCATTTGTTTGAATTTCAGATAGATAAAAAAAAAATTATCTAGTTTATCTAAATTTATCTAAACACTACTTATAGTTGAAGTTTTCTAGGATAGGAAGGTACCTTTTTGTTCCGTCCTTGCACAGTGCTTTTCACATTGCCATTCTGGCTTTCAGTGGTGAGGTAAGGCAAGAATAATAAGGGAAAATGACATTTCTTCTTACATTTATATACATGGTCTACCTGTCCACCCGTTTCACTGTTTGAACCAATTTTAAGTGATAAACCAAATTATTCCACCCTCTTAAACATCTGCTTGTACTGAGAAAAATTTCTTCCTATTAAACTCCTGTGATTTTGATGGGCTTTTGGCAGGGATAAACCTGGCCCTGCGTGTCTAACCTATGCCTTGGACAAGCAGCAGAATTAGGGAATTTAATTAATTTCCTTTGCCTTGATTTGCAAACTGTGCAGCAATCTGCACATTTAATTCTATCCTTTGTGTATTATTTTTCTGAGCAAGGACAGAATTGGCTACAGATTTGACATCTTTGTGACAGTGAGTCTGTGGCAGCACTGAAAAGAAAGGAGAAAGCAGCAGGGTCACAGAGAGGACAAAAGGAAAAAATAGCTGTCTAAATCATATATCATTAAAGTGATGCTCATTGAATTACCTCTCTCAGGGCCTGTCAAAACATGTGGTGCCCTTGCAATATGATGTGAATTAAATGCCTTCTGGCCCCTGAAATATTGTTTTCAAGGCCAAATGTGTACTTTCACAGTTTCCCTCTAGTAACTACTAAGAAACGTTTGAAACATGCTGATTGACTCCTATGATTAGCAAAAACAGCTCAGGAACACAGCAGTGTGTGGCAGCTGTCTCTCAGAGGAAAGTCAGAACATGTGAGTACTTTCAGGCCCTTGGTGATGCTCACCGATAGCCCCATCCACTGAGAAATTGGTGAGCACAGCTTAAAGTTGCCGTGGGAGAGAAGAAAGTGTCACACAATGCTATGGTTTAGGAGGGAGCTCAAAGACTGTCTCGTTCAAACCTCTTTGCCATGGGTAGGGACGTCTTCCACTAGACTCTGTTGTTCAGTTGTAGCTAGACCAAATATCATTAACTGACTGAATCCTTTCAGTAATTATAATCTTATAATCTTATTTTGTCCCTTATTTTCTCTCTCTCTTTTTTTTTTTTTTGGAGAAAACTGCTGTCTGGCTGGGAGACATCAGATGGCCTTGGAAGATGGTTGTGGACCGGATGGGGATCACTCTTTTCTCGCAGGTGACAAGGGATAGGATGAGCGAAAATGGCCTGAAGCTTCACCAGGGGAGGTTTATACCGGATATTGTGAAAAATTTCCTCACTGGAAGAGACTGCCCAGGGCAACAGTGGAGTCCCCCTGAAGGTGTCCATAAAATGTGTGCATTGCTTTTGGGCACATGGGTTAGTGGTGGACCTGGTAGTGCTGGGTTAATTGTTGTGTGATTCTATGTGTCTATGATTCCATGATTCCATCTCCTTCAGGATATGAGGCTCTTTACATTCCACAGACATCACATCACAACAACTCCATGAATGCAACTTTCCCTCAGCAGCTCAGACCATTGAGGCACCAGAGGAACAGGTTCTTTCTCTCCTATTTATCTTAGATGTGAAAATTACAGGGGGAGTTGGGGGTGGTCACCTCTCTGCCAAATTCAGGTGTTCAAAAATCATAACAATGTCCCTCCAAAATCGTCACACTTAACACCTTTTTGTTTAATTTTTTTTTGAGTCTTACATTTTTATTATGCATATAAGCTTTTCTCTGAGATGATATTAACTAGAATTCCTTTTTGTCTTCTTCTCTTCCTGTTTTTATTGAAGTTTCAGTGGAGAGATAAACTTTTTCATTCTTGAAACCACGTTTTTGAAGAAAATTAATATATGGTTATACTTGCAACAGAAATGTTAAAATCAACATCAAATTTATTCATGTTAATTATAATAGATTCATGATTTCCAGGGTAAGGTTAATTTTTCATCTCAAAATCATAGGATCAAAATTTATCCATATATTTCCATTACGTGTAGAGGCCTTTTAAGATCTCTGTAAATTATATATTACAATCTTTGATTCCTTGAGAAAACTTAAATAAACTAAAACATATGAAGATGACATGAGTCTCCTGAGGAGACTACAGCATATCAGTGACAGATAGAGATGTAGAGTTCAAAACAGTAGGATACTAACGCTGCTCTCCATCTAAAGTACCCATGAATACTCTCCAAGGGCCCCCTGTGTGCCCCAACTTCACCAACATATCCTCAAAAATTATTTTTCAGTGAATTTTTTTTTTGGTTTGGTTTGGTTTTTGTTTGTTTGGGGTTTTGTTTGTTTGTTTGTTTGTTTGTTTTCTCTAGCACTACAAGCCTAAAAAATGCCACAGTTTGTTTGGATATGGGTTCTTTCGTTTGTTTGGGGATTTTTATGTGGTGTAATACACTGTATTTTAAAAAAGGAGGGACAATAGTCACATCTTATGTATTCTGCGAATCTTACAAAGGTCATGTCCAGGTTGTGATGGAGAGATGACAAGGCCAGGATTCTTACTACTTCTGAGGAAAATCTTTGCTATATATACCACAGCATTAGGGCAACACATGGAGAGGCCTCCACAAGAGACGAGTCTGATAACTGTTATTTTCTCACCCTTTCAAACATCCCTCTAGTGGCTGGCAGCATCTTTAGCACAGAATGATTTTCTTTCAATACATCACCCTTTTATTTATCAATTACTAACAGTGAATGAGACTGGTATTGGTATTTAAGAACAACACCTGTTAAGAAATCTTCTTATTCACAATCAGTTGTACTTATTTTTATCCAGCATACAATCTATGTATAATCTCTGTATGTATTCCAATTTTGGTAACATCAGTTTTACAACAATTTTACAGTGGAAGATGTGGTTTTAACATGAAGAGGTTGAGTCTTCAGCACAGGTGGCCCTCAGGTAAACCCATTATTATGTATATCTAGGGAAAAAAAAAAAAAAAAAGGATAGTGGATAGTTACCTGCTCATATCAGGAACTTATTTGCTGTGTTTCAACAGTTCTATAGGAGCAATCCCTGTAGCCCCCATAAACTTATTCCATATTTCCTTCCATGGTACCTGCAGTCTCACTGTGTGGAAAGCATGGCAATCGGTCCTGAGCCTTGCCCAAGGTCACAGACAGAATTAGTAATAAGCCAGGGAAGGAAGAGCCCAGGTGTTCTGGCATCTGGGCTGTTGTCCTGGTCACTGCACTTCAGCGCCTCCACAACAACACAGTATCACTCCGTGTTGGAAGGTAGTTCGAAGGACTCATGTTCCTTGGTGGGTGATAATTTTTGGAGTGCTGACCTCATACACTAGCCCTGGCTAATTCCCACAATAAGTAGGGAAGCAGAAATCTCACAGGTTTGCACCCAGAAAGCCTGGGACATGTTTTTAGCTTGGTATCTCACCTCTCTTTTCTTCACGTAGTGATCAAAATGACAGAGTATTTGATTTCTTTCATCTGCTGTAACCCTTTGTTATTTATTAGGAGTTTCAAGGTGCTGAGCACTTCTGTGAAGTGCTGAGCACCCTGAAGTTTCAGAGATTGCCAATTAAAGGTGTGCAGCACCCTTCAAGTCTGTGACTTACGAGAGTGATTGTGTTGAAAGGGAAAAGAAGTCTTGTCCTGTTAATTACAGGTTCAATTAAAGCACAAATCACATCAAAAGTACAACTCTGGAGGAAACTCAGTGCAAGCACATTTGACATGCATAAAAGACAAATAGGCCTTTTGATTGGCTTGAAGGTTAACGTGCTCATTAGATTATATCAGTTCATTATGCAACTGCGCTTGTGCCTACAGTATGATATATAGTAATCAACAGGAGCATTTCAGGGATAAAATAGCAGGGGGAAAAAAAAATAACTGTTCAGCATGAACAGTTAAAAAGATGAACTGGACAGAAAGCTCATTTTTTCAGACGTGGTAGGCCCATTTCATCAAGGAAAAAAAAATAATTTCTTTTGAGATGCAAATAAAATAGTAAAGCAACTTGGCTTAGAAGGTACAGAGATGCAGATTTGGGCTGACAATGTTTATGATGACCACAGCTTTCTTGTTTTTCCCCTTTACCCTAACATAATTGCTTTTGACTGGGCAAATCATGTTGTTCTCGTTGTAATGTCATTGCAATTTATGATTCCATAAGGCACTTGAATAGATTTTTTGTTTTTATATGCTTTGCATTTCATTTTAATGTCACCCAAGGAAATTGCATACCTAAAGCTGTACGTGCTACTTATTATTAAATACTAAATGGTACCTTTGCCCTCCTCCCCATTCTTGATTACAATCAAGATGTGTTTTAGATTTTATTACAGAATTACTTTCCTACTCAGTTAGAGCCTTAAGGTTAATTTCTGCTTATACTTCTCACTAAATGTCAAGCTTAATGCAGGTTTTATGTGAATATAGGGGAAAAACCCATCCACAAGAGTTAGATGTAGCCTGGTGGGGAGCTTTACACACACAACACCAAGGCAAAATTTTGATCCTGGGATGGAAGAAATGGTACAGGTTACATGGATTCCTTTGTGAGTTTTGCAGAAATTACAAGTCAAGTGTCCTCATGTACCTTGACAACAGTAGAAGATCTTACCAGAAAAAGTATAACATACATAATATGTAGTTGAAGACTGCTCTGCCAGCACCCAGTCTGTGTGGAATCCCCCCAGTGTGGGGAAACTAATATTTTATTGAAGTCTTCCTCCCCGGTGTTCTGGCTCCCTGCAACCAAAGGAAGCATCCTGAGGATTCCTCTTGGAGAATCCAATGAAGTCAAAAGTCCCTACTCCTACAATAGATTATTATTTCTCCTACTTACTGGTATTAAAAGTTTGATCATTTCCCAGATTACGATACATTAAAGCCTCAAGGATCTAGAGAAGAAAAAAATATCAAAATGCTCACAGTGCTAAAATTGCTCATTAATGTCTTTATAATGAATTATTTATTCTACAAATTATAGCACAATGTAAATAAGAAAACAATGATATTGCAGTCATTTTCTGAGCACAAAGGCTTTACCACATCCAAAATCTTACAGATTTGTAAAACACCTCATGACAGCACATGTTATTATCTTATGGAAGGTTTTGCATGGAAATCTAAAAATAACATCTTTTTCTGTAGACAGTTTTGGTTAGAAATTTTTTTTTTTTTTTTTTACTTTAGAAGGTAAGTTATATTTTTTTCTTCTTATGAAGTTGGTACTTTTCCTTCAGAAATCATTTTCTTTTCTCCAAGCAAGAGAAAAAAAAATTATCAGATCCTCAAATTTCAACGGTTTTCATTTAAAGTTTTCAGTGGACTCCACTTATGTGGGCAGAAAACGCAGCAATGGATATTATATTCATACTCTAAATTTTTACTGTCTTCTAGGGAATTATTAATAGAGAAATGCTCTCCTTGTCTGTAAGAGGAAGGGAATTTTAACCTTGCCTCTTAGAAAGCGCATAAGAATCTAACATGCAAGACAGTTACTGAGGGATTGATGTGTCAGCACGCAAGATTAAAACATATACAGAAAAAAATTACCATAGGCCTTATAAGCTATTAATGTATATCTTTATTTATTGCAAGTTAAAGGTTTTGTAATAAAAAAGAGCATGCACACACAACCCTACATAAATATATACACATAGAGTTATAAAATAATAATTTATATGAGCAACCCAATGGGAAACCAGCAGAGATATTCAGATTTAACTGACAAGCAGTAGCTGCGAAGCTTCTGATATATACCTAAGGGGCAACATTTTAGAAAAGAGATAACAAGAAGATATTATATTAATATTAATAAAGTTTTATTTCCGAGGGGAAAATATGATCAAGTACTTTGCTTTCTAGGCTCCCTTTTTTTTTTTTTAATTTCTGTCAAAGTTAGAAACAAAATCATACTTAACCAGTTGCTCCTTTTTCATATAATTCTTTTAAATTATACATGAAAAAAAACAAAAGGGATGTTGAGCAATGAGGTTAACAGAGCCATACTCCTCAGATGATGTGTGATGATCAAGGCTTGGTGTCAAATATTTTTAGCCAAGTCAAATCAGTCTATTCATGTTCATGTACCATAAAATTCACTTTTACAAGGATAACTATAACATTTACATTAGAAAGGAACACGTGAAATCTTAAAGTCTTTACATATATCTTGAGTATTTCTATAGTGATATATAAAATGAGAATACGTATTTTAACTTTACAAGAATCATGGCTTCATAGCTGATTAAATTTTGTAATAGATTACGTATTCTCTGGAGACTCAGGAAGCCCAGATCTGTTTCCTTTTGTAGTAACATCCTATTCAAGGGCAGCCTTGCAAGGTCTCATGCCAACGATCAAACCTGATACCCTTTATTAAGTGGTCCAAATTTGGAGGTCTTCTTTCTTGGCTTTACTTTTAATAAATCATGGGCAATTAACAATGCCTGAAGGCATGGATTTTTTTCAGATCTGTTAATTTTCATATTTCAGATACCTCTTTCTCATCAAGAAATATACTTGAAGGCTACTTGAGGTACTACAGGACTGCCTCATGAAAACTGATTGGAAAACTTATTTTTAACTCTGTGAACAAGAAAAATTCCTACTTTTTCCTTCTCTCCTCCCTTTTTCTCTTGTTCTTTCTAACCTCAGGCTAGGAGGAAGGACCTTGAAGTCTTGAATAATTATGAATTGAGAAGGGAAAACAAATAATTATTTTCGTGTGGGTTAAACATTTCTGATATTCTATGTTAATAAATTTTGATTTTCACAGTCTCTTTGTGTTAACTTATGTCACAAATTCAGGATAAAAACAAAGTCAATTAAAGAAATTGAAATTTAAAAGAAAGAAGTAATTGTTTGTACTGAGAATTTTCTGAACTTTTTTTTTTTTTTTTGTAAAGAGTTTTTATATCACTCCCTGCAAGAAAACAGGAAAACATCTGTTGTTTTTGAAAGATATCATAATCACAGCTAATGTGCAAGTCTCCCATTCTCCCCTTTCCTTCTTTGAGTGGCTAAAACCTTTAGCTAAGTAGAGATTTCATCTACATCACCAAATTAAAATGACTGTGCTGTTGATGTGCACATTAGCTCTGAAATCTGCAAGGCATATTGGTAAACTTGATAATGAAGCTTTAAAATAAGGGTAGTCAAGATGTTCTTGAATGCAAAAGAAATGCAAGACACACCTTGAAAGAGCATTAGCATAGCTATTACCAAAAAAGTAAAGGGAGATTATCTGCATATGCATAAAGATATTGAAGAGACATAAAGTGCACTTGACAGCAGACCACAGAGTTTGGAATTGGAGAGCTCAGTGGATCATATCTCATAGCATTTGTCAGTGATACCCACTGGGAAAGCTACACACCATCAAGAAACTCAGACTACAGTCTATGGTCTTCAGACCTTGGCTCTTGCTTGCTTATATTCTGTGGACTATTCATGTTCCTCTTGATGTGTGGAGTCCAAAGCTGCATCAAATATTTCAGTTCAATATTCCAGCAGAGTAGAGTAGATCAGAATAATTACATATGTTATAGAAGATGTTGTTTCTATTTATATCATGGAAAATCATATATCACACTGAAAAAATCAAGAAATTTTTATTATTCTTCATAGCTCTCACATCCACTGAAACAGAGATAATTCCCCTCCAGCTATTCCCTGATCATCATTTGTACAGCATTTCCACCTGTATTTAGAAATTCATATTTACCCCCCTTTTACAGAACTATTTATTTAGGTTTTTAGGATAATTCTCACTACATTTATGGTGTAGGAGGCAGGAAAACACAGAGCAGGAACTAGACACCAGTGGTGTGCCCCAGGGATGAGTGCTAGGCCCAGTCCTGTTTAACATCTTTATCGATGATTTAGATGAGGGGATTGAGTCCATCATCAGCAAATTTGCAGATGACATCAAGTTGGGAGGGAGTGTCGACCTGCCGGAAGGCAGGAGGGCTCTGCAGAGGGATCTGGATAGACTGGAGAGATGGGCTGACTTCAATGGGATGAAGTTCAACAAGGCCAAGTGCCGGGTCCTGCACTTTGGCCACAACAACCCCCTGCAGCACTACAGGCTGGGCACAGAGTGGCTGGAGAGCAGCCAGGCAGAAAGGGACCTGGGGGTGCTGATCGACAGGAGGCTGAACATGAGCCAATAGTGTGCCCAGGTGGCCAAGAAGGCCAATGGTATCCTGGCCTGCATCAAGAACAGTGTGGCCAGCAGGAGCAGGGAAGTGATCCTTCCCCTGTACTCAGTGCTGGTGAGGCCACACCTTGAGTATTGTGTTCAGCTCTGGGCCCCTCAGTTCAGGAAGGATATTGAGGTGCTGGAGCGGGTCCAGAGAAGAGCAACGAGGCTGGTGAAGGGACTTGAGCAC